GCAGTCTTTATGCAACTAATTAATGAAGCACTGCATGAACACCGATATAATGGGGTCCTGGTTTATTTGGATGACATTCTCACCTTCAGCAAAATGCTAGAAGAGCACATTATCTGGTGCAGCAGGTATTGAAAAAACTCCTAGCTGCAAAACTCTATGCAAAGCTATTCAAATGCGAGTTCCATAAGATCTCACTAGACTACCTGGGTTACCGAGTATCAAATGAAGGGATCAAAATGGATCCAGGGAAAGTAAAAGCCATGCTAGACTGGCAGCTGCCTCACACACACAAACAGCTCCAAAGCTTCCTGGGGTTTGCCAACTTCTAAAGACAATTTATTCCCTCTTTCGCAGAGGTAGCCCTTCCCCTAACAAAGTTGTTGAAAACAGGACCCCCCCCCCCCCCATGAAACCCCATCCAATTCAGCCGTTAGCTTGGATGATGGACTGTCAAAAAGAGTTCAAGAAATTGAAGCTACTATTTGTGGAAGAACATATCCTCCAAAACACCCAGGCCCTGACAGGCAATTTATTGTTCAAGCCAGTGCCAGTGATGTGGCAGTGGCAGCTGTACTTCTCCAGGAAAACCCTCAGGGTATACTGTTGCCTTGTGCATATGTGTCTAAAAAAACTGACAGACACAGAACGGTGCTGGGCAGTTTGGGAGAAGGAGGTGTTTGCAATCTGGTGGGCTCTCTTGTCATGGAGACATTTCCTGGATGGGGCTAAGGTGCCTTTCGAGGTCTGGACTGACCGCAAAAACCTTGAAGCCCTGAAAATGCCCTGGAAACTTTACCCTAAGCAAGTTTGCTGGGCTCAATACTTCAAGCATTTCAATTTCCAACTCACATACATCCGGTGGGGGGGACGGGACCTTTTGGCTGATGCTTTGTCAAGGAAACCCCAATATGACAGCTGGCAAGAGGAGATCAACTACACCATGGTCCCTAACACACAAAGTGCAGCCCAAGCCACCACTAGGAGCCAGGCCAGATGCCAAGCTGCCCCTTTTGAAGAAAACTACGGACCTTAAGAAGGCACTACTAACTGACCAATGGTACACATAAAACAAGGAGATTCTAACCATGAGAGAGGGATTGGCATGGAAAGGGTCCAAGCTCTACATACCCAACAGCTTGAGACTAATGGTACTACAGTGGAGTCATGTCTCTATTTAGCTGGTCACTTGGATTCCTAAAGACCCTCCACTTGGCTCGGAGGCAGTTTTAGTGGCCGAAAATGAAAGCAGATGTAGAGGAATATGTAGAAAGTTGTGCCATTTGTGCCACTATGAAATTGAGGCCAGGGAAGCCTCCAGTTCTCCTCCAACAAGTGGCCGAACCTGTCACCCCGGGAAGAGATTGACATGGATTTTATACTGGAACTTCCTGAAAGTGGGGGGCACACAGTGATTTGGAATGTAATTGATTTATTTTCCAAGCAAGCCCATTTCACTGCTCGTTCTGGGCTGCCTTCATCCCAAAAGCTAGCCCAGATGTTTGTTAAGCAAATTTACAGGCTACACGGAGTACTGCAATGTATAATTTTGGACAGGAGAGTCCAGTTCACCACTTGGTTCTGGAGGAAGTTCCTGAAATCCATTGGATCCTCACAAGGATATAACTTGGCTTTTCATCCGAGTATGAACGGGCCTACGAAATGTGTGAACAATACATCAGATGTTATATAGATTACCAACAAGAAAATTGAAGTGGCTTATAACAATGCGGTGCACAGTAGCACTAGTTTAAGCCCTTTCCAGGTCACTCGTAGTATGGAATTTGTTCTCATGCCAGAACTACCAAGAGAACAACCCACCTTCATGTCATTAACCAAATGGATGGAGTAATTAAAGAAGGGTTGGGAAAGCACAAAGAAAGCGCCAGCGGAAGCCATGGAAGCATATAAAAAACAAGCTGATAAACATCAATCTATCCAACCCCCTTTTTGGGTGGGAGATTGAGTTTATCTATCAACCAAATGCATTAGGCTAAAATTACCTAGTAAGAAATTAGGACTGAAATTTTAGGACCTTTCCCTATATTGAAAGTGATTAATCCAGTAACTGTGCAATTAAGTCTCCCTAGAATACTGGGGTAAATACACCCGGTCTTTCATAGTAGTTTGTTAAAATCTGTTGTCAGTTCAAGGCTAAGGCCACAGCCAACAGCGCCTCCCAAACTGATTGTAGTACAGGGTGAAACCCATTACAAAGTAAAAACAGATTCTAGATTCTAAATTGCATAGAGGCAGATTGCAGTATCTGGTCCATTGGAATGGGTACCCTTTGTCAGAGGTGACAAAGTTAACCTGTTTGGGTTAAGAGCTATGATATCAAAGCTATGATATCCTAGTGAAACAATTCCATGATAAATTCCCAGAAAAACCAAAGAGTCCTCCTGGGGGTGTGTGAGGAGGTTAACTGCTTGTTGATTGAATTAACCCCCTGCTTGTTTCTCATTCCAGGATGTGATTTTTGCCTGAGAGGGGGGGAAGCCTGTCAGCTTGGAAGCCAATTTTCTTTGAGGCTTCTGGGCTGCCACATTTAGTGCCTGGGAATTTGGGAGCGGGATTTCAAGGAGTGGTGGAAAACTAGCCACAACAACATGCTACCCTGTACCTGGAGGGGAGTGACTGGGGGTAGTTTCCAGTTGGAATGAAATAACAATTGGACCATGTGATGGACGATTTGGTGCAGGGGTTGGATTTTGGGTTTCCTTTGGGCTAGGGAAAATCCGGAACATTCAGATTCGGGTTTTCCCAGATGTGCCAATAAGACATCTCTAGTAAAATGGATCTTTAGGAAGATGATATTCTCGGAATCATTTTCTTTGGAGGTTGTTACCATGTTTCTCATATAATAATGTTGTCTTGTCAGAAAGGACAATTTATTACAATCACTAAAAGACAAATGTAGTGTTTGGCAACTGAGCACACATTCAAATTCTCACTCAGCTACCACATATGTGAGTAGACTAATCAACCTGCATAGAAGACTTTGCTGTGAAACTGAATTTATAAAAGCAAGGTAGTGTGAAAAAGTAGATAGGATTTTATTTGTTCTCAAATAGTATGCACAAACATAATCAATATTGCCTTTTCAAGTACTTAAACAAACATAATCAATGCTGGACAATGGATGCTTTGAAATAGTATTATTATTATTATGATTTTATTATTATTATATTTCCATGTAATAAGAAAAGATATAAAAATACATCATATCATCAAACAATTATTTTCAACGTCACAAATCAATGCAATAAAATGCTTCAAAGCAGGGATGTTGAACTCAAGGCTCACAAGCTGGATCCAGCCCTTGGGGTGCTTAGATCTGGCCCCTGGGGCCACCCTGGAAACAGTGAAGGACTGGCCTGAGGTGCCTCTGCCAGTGAAAACGGAGCTCTGTTTTCAGCTGCAACATCCTCCTGCAGCCCATTGCCAGTGAAAACAGAGCCCGTTTTCTGCGCGGCCGTCCCAGGCTCCATTATTGCTGGCAGAGGGCTGCAGGATGTCGAGCTGGCCATGCCCACCCCGGTTACGCCCACTTGTCCTCCCCAGGTCAAACACAACCCTGATGTGGCTCTCAATGAAATCAAATTTGACACCCCTGCTTCAAAAGATAATATTTTTCCTGGCTTTTTCTCCCGTTGACCTCATAGATAGGTCTACATGGGTTTTGGACAGTTATCACAACTGGATTGCAAATGCCTTCTTTCAGGCTGTAATGGACTTCCTAGTCTAGCTTCAAGGTTCCCTGGGAGTTTCCAACTCAAATACTAACCAAGCTTAGCTTTCAAACCCCAAGTAGGTCAACCAGGTGCTGCCATCTGCTGTGACAAAATATTTAAAGGAATTTCTTTATTTGTTCTACAAATCTGCGGATCATTAAAATGCTGTTTTGCTATGTAAATTTAATGGTTCACTAAATTTGTATTTCCTTCTTAAGGAACTCTAACAATAATATAAAATGCAGTCTGGATGCAAACACCTTGATATCTTCTATAATCCATAGTTTCATGGACGTATTCTATCTTACAATTTCTAAAATATATTTCATATATTTTCTAATACACACATGCTCGCCTTTTCATCAGAAAGTCACTGTATTTTCTCTGCCACTGTTAATGTAGCTTCCCAGAAGGAAAAGGAATTTATTAAATATACATGCCATCCATTTTCAAAAGCGACTTTAATATGAGCAAAATATCTCAAATCCTAAGAATTTACCATCTGAGGGTCATTCATGTCCTCTGTAGCTCTGAGACAATTCCAAAAACCTAGAGTAGCTCAATTCTAATATCATACTAAATTATAGATAAACCTTCTTCAGGCTGAACATAGTTTATGTGCTGGTCTGCTCAACGAAAGCTCCTTCTTCTAATCCATCCTTACACTTCCCAAAAACAAGCAGCATTTTCTACTGTTATTTGAAGTATTTTAATCTGGAGGTTTGTTATGTACACCCTTTCACAGCCATTAATAATCATCCTTGCACATTTTTGTTATTTAAACCCATTATCTATCACATTTTAAATAGCAGCAAATTCCATAAACCTATTATGAGTTTACTCTGTAACACAGAACATACTGTATTTTCCTTTTTTTTTTTTTGTTATTTATTTTCCTGGGGGGAAAGTGCTCCTTAAATTAGGCTTTTCTTATCTCTTTTCAACTCTATGGGATCATTTGGAGTTAAAGTGGTAGCAGCAGCATGTTTACAGTTGACAATTCAACTGTACCCAAGAAATATTCTAACACAATATTGGGAAGTTTTCAGGATGTTTCCAAATAATCAATAGCATGAAACTTGTTTTCCATAGCTGCTGCCCTATGTGAGCATACTGAGACACAGAATGCTTCTTCAAAACCCCACAGCTCTTTGAAATTTCCCAAGACAATAGGTATTTCCATTTTACCATGGGTTTTTAGCCAGATTATCTTTCTATCTCAATTTTTCTTTCTTTTTCATCCATACAGACAGACATGTACAGTCTTACCTGTGATTTTGTCTCGAACGAGTTTGCATGATTCAATCTCTCCAATGCTTCCAAACAGACTCTTGAATTCTTCTTGTGTCATGTTCTGGGGTAAGTAGTTGACTATGAGGTTAGTTTTGGAATCATCAGTGGCCCCATTGGCACTGATCAGTGGCCCATTGGGGAGGGAACTGTTGCTTGTGGGGCCGTTGGACACCTGGGTCTCCATTGTGCTGATTATCTGCTGAAAACAAGAGGGAGGAGGGAAAAGTGTTACGGTTATGAAGGATGGGAGGCAAACCCAGCAGTTTGTATGACATTGTTCATTTGCAACATAAGAGTTGTTGGAATGGATTAGGCTTATAATATATTTGTTTCAGTGTTATGGTTTCACAGAGGTTATATTGAAGTAGTATATAAAAAAGAAAGAGAGAAGAAAGAGAGAAAGAAAATGCTAGAAAAAAAGGAAGTGCCAGAAGCCATACGATGGTCCTATTTTGTTCACACTAGTATACTATTTCTATGTAATGCAGCTCCCAAAAAATTACTCCTACAGGAATGCTATGCTCAAGCGGAATACATATTGCCCTTGCCTGAACTCAGAGACTAATACTTGGTTGGTGGACCAACAGAGAAAATCAGTACGTAGAATAGATGAAGAAAAGTTGGAGAAAGGTCCCCAAAACACCTCTGCAGTTTTACCAAAAACTGCTATGTGGATATGTGCATGAAATCACCAGGACTTTTATTTGACCTGAAGGAGATTTTAAACTATTTTCATTTAATTTGTCACCATATTTTTCCATGCACAAACAAATTTAAAGTGCATTTGATGGGAGAGTGGTGGAAATTCAGGACCTCGCAATAATTACTGATCAGTGCTTCTTTAGGCAATACAACACCCCCCCTCCCTTTACAATGGTTCTTTCCATTTCATTCCCTGGACATTTATTTTGATTGTTACAAAGCCTCTGTGCCAACCATCCACTTCTCTGTGCTTTCCCTACAGGCAGCTCTTCTGTTAGCAAAATGCTGGTTTCCTCTTAAACTATTGATCAGGCCATTGATTCTGCCATTACACTCCAGCCTCAGGCCAGGAATGAATATCATCAAAGAAAAATGCATCACTAATTTGCTGGGCCTACCAATAATCTCCTTACAAAGATGGTTGTGGACAGGGCATTCTTCTTTCGCTATATGGTATTTACTAGGCTTTGGAAATTTAAATTTCTACATAAAGATAATTTTTATTTGGTTAAGTATAGTTCCATGTTTATTCTCTACTTCACAGAAATAAATAATGGTTCTAAAAGCCATCATTCAAAAGCCATATTACACTCTAACATAAAGACTAACCAATATTATGTCACACACAAATTCTGGGATGCTGCAACCAGACCAAGTTGTTGCAACTTGCCAATAATTTGCAAATGTTTGGGTCACATGCAGAAAACCTTGGGAATTTATGCAAAAATATAATCTGTAAAGTGATCTAAATACAAAATGTATCTATGAAATAACTAAAAAGAGATGACCAGTTTGGGTAACCATCAAGATAGACAAATTCAGAACAAAGCAGGGAATAGCAGAACAGATACAGATCAATATTAAGTCTGCAATTCTGTTCACATTTATTCAGAGGCTCTGATGATGATTTAGAAATGTCTAATTTTATTCTGAATGCCTATTACCTTGCAAAGATTGTCAACAACTTTCATGGACATATGTTAAGCTTACCGATAGGAGCAGTTTCATACACCCTCTAATTTATATACACAATTCGTACATTATACTTGTAATTGCTGTACTAAGTGGACATCATCTATATACCAGTCTCCAGGCAACCCTCCCAAACCAAGATATAAAACCATGTTATCAGAAGCATTAGAACACATCCAATTTATTGCCATGCCATTTTTAATCTGTTTCTTTTTTAAATTCAATTTAAGATGTTTCAGTTTTTCAGGACTCTTAAGTTATTTATCTTTCAAGTTGGTTTCCTACTCCCAGATTGCCATTCTCGCTGTGGTGCTTATTGGAAAAAAATCTACCCCGATTTATTGATGTTTTGTTAGCTTCCACATTAAGAGTCTAGTATAATAAATTTAGAACATCTTAATAGACTGGCAAATTTGTTTTCTTATATTTAGTAAGCTTATTATATTAGCCTCATTCTATTTTATAAGCAACAGTCAGTAAAACAATAGTTAATTAAGCACAAAAGCTTTAGGGCCTCAAGCACATATAGGAAGCTGTACCAAAAAGCAAGAAGCATATGCTTAGCCACTGTCTCTGAAGAAAAGCAAGGCTGGGCATCACTCCTCTGCCTACTATTTTTTAATGATTCTGTGATTATTTTGTTTAAAGTACTTGTAAGCCAACTGCAGTTCATCCTGCAGATTAAAGTTCTACCAGAGGATGGATCTATTATGTTACCTAGCCACCCCTGTGGTGGCTTCTGCATTAGTGATTTCTTGCTGGGTTGATAACTAAAGGAATTTAAATTCCCAGGCTAGAGACCAGAGACCATCCTGACTCAAACAGCAAACATCACACTAGCCATAGTTAAAAACGACCAGAATGAGCTTCAGAGAACCTTGGACTTCCCTTATTCTCCCCCTTCCTCTTACAAGGATCATCTTATGCAAAAAAAATAAAAAATGAATAGAGGCTGAAATGAAGCACACCAGCCACAGTTAAAATTAGCGATAGCTTGCTAAATAATAAGCAGTAGTTTAAAAACTGGGAGGCCTTCCTTGCTTCTGAACTTCCATACTTCCAACTTCACAACCATACTGGTGACAGAAAATGGGCAGGGCAGCTCTGAAACCCCAAGTAAGACAAGACTCAGTTGTTCTTGTGGCAAATTCCTTAGAGAATCAATGCTAATTTGCCTTCCTTTTTAGTCTCTTGAAAATACCTCTCAGTTACAGACTTGAGCCCTTGAAAGAAAAACGACATCCATTTTGAAGTGCAATACCTTTTTTACTTTTAAAATGATTTATTTTTAACTTGGCATTCAAGAAACTGCCAATCTTCTTGAAAGCTGCTAACTGAATCACATTCTCATGCCAGCACCCTCTTAGCCAGATTTTAGCCAGTTAAGTCCAGGAGCTGTATAGAACCAAAACTAGTTCAAGCTTTCCATCCACCCACCGCCCCCCTAGATATTATTTGCCAAGGAAGAAACTTGGTTTCTTATTAACAAATAAGTTAAAAGTGGCAGACCAAGAACAATTGGGTTTACAATGCCAGCTTTTAAAGAGCACTCCAAATAAAAAAAGATCCGCTTTTTAAATGAAATTGTTGAGTGAGTAATTTCTAGCTTATTTATCCACTTCAGGTGGTAGAAAGAAACTATGAACAAAATGCATGCACTGGGACACAGTACAAAAAGCCAAAATGTTCAGAATCCTGGCTCATACTGTTCCATGTGACTAGGTTCAGCATGATTGACTTCATGGCCACAGCATCTAAACAATCTTGGCTAAACTTGGAAAATGCTAAGCAAGACAAAACCTAATTATTGCTTAAATGGAGGGCACCACATCATCCCCAGACTGTAGGCTAGACTGGCAAATTTGAAAAAGCAAGCAATGCAAACTGTTTCATATTGCTGCTGCCCCTAAAATTACATGGGAACCAGTGGTGGGATTCACATTTTTTTTTACTACTGGTTCTTTGGGTGTGGCTTAGTGGGTTTGGCAGGGGAAGGATACTGTAAAATCTCCAGTCAGAGGTGGTATTTGCCGGTTCTCCGAACTACTCAAAATTTCTGCTACCGGTTCTCTAGAACTGGTCAGGACCTGCTGAATACCACCTCTGACGGGAACATGTCCAAGTAGTCACAATGATTCAAGACTGACTCGGATTTTTTTTTCTAAGTGTTTTAGAATACAGGGTTAGTTATTCTATTATAATCAGCATTAAATGGTAGATTATTGTAATCAAGAACACATTGCATATCTACTTAAATAAGACTTATTTTCAAGTTCTATAATTTTTGTCAGTCTGCACCCACTAACTTACATCAGAATCTGAACTTTTCCAGGTCTCACTGAACACAACAGTATGGCAACTGCTCCTCAATAGAGAGAAATACTCTGTGCCTTCTCTGTGGCAGCCTCTGCCCTATGAAATACCCTGCCCCCAGAGGTTCGGCCCTGTTAGCCTTCATATGGCTTTAGAGATCTGGCTTTCCCCCCCAAGTGCTGGGAGTTAATTAGATGATGGCATGTTAACACAGATTGGATTTTTGTTGTTTTAAATGTTTTATGTTTCAACTGGTTGAGTGTTAGTTTCTAAAATGCTTTAATATGCCTTTTCATTTTTGATTGGGAGCTGCCCAGAGTTGGTTGAAAGATGGGCAGATGTATAAATATTTTAAATCAATCAATCAATCAATAAAATAAAATACAAGAATGTAATACAATAAGTATTACAATCAGAGAATCGCAAAGATTGTAAAGTCTGCATCTGTATTTAGTATGTAAGAGACTGACAAGAAGATAAAATGGAAAGAGAATGGAGTTAAGCATTGTAACTTCCTTGAAAACTTTGCAAATTCAGTGCAACCTATTTGAACCAACATAGAATACTATATACTGATTGTACTATCAGTCTTTTGCTTGTTACCCCTTGTTACCTCATTGATGGAAACTCCTTCTTTTGAAGCTTTCAAGACAAGGACATGTTCTATAGATAACAATGGATCTGTATAAGTAGCAGAGTTACCCATTTTGAAGGATGCCCATGTATCAAAAAAGTCAATACTCCAATGTTACCTCTTATGCTTGTGTGAGAGATTTGATAGATGTGCTAAGGAAAAGATTAGAGGAGCTGAAAATGTGGATTCCTCTCTTTTATATAATTAATGCAAGGTTAGGAAGTCTTGTTCTTCATTGCATCTATGTACCTCACCAGAAAGCAAAACTGTCAGAGCAGATGCATAGGTGCAGTTCCTTCAATTGGAATAGAAAATCAATGTGATGCAGTATAATATATTTTAATTAGAAACCACATTCCTATTCATTTATGATGATCCCTAGGCAATTGTTAACAAATCACTAGTATTTAGCATCCTCTTTGAATTCCAAGAAAAAAGGAATTTGCTAATTAAATTATCAAAATGTCTATCAGGACAGGTAAATTGCAAGGCTGAAATATGTTCTGAGTGACTTGAAATGAACTTTAGAATAAAAATGTAACAATGCAACAAAATCTCTCCAAGTCCTGGTGAGC